GGATTCAACGGCCACTGCTCTGCCACCTTCGGCAACGGGATGCCGTCTCGGACGTGGCGCAGCAGCACGAAGGCATCCATCTCCGGACGCCACGGGACGGCGCTGTGCTTTGATCGGCCGGATGCGTGGACGGCCATGAGGCTGCGACGCATGAGTTGTCAAATCTCGATCGAAACGTAGTTTTCGTAAACGTAGTTGTGGCCCCCCGCTACGTCGCACGAGTGCAACCGGGTAGCGGGGGGCCGGGGGGGGGGGGGGGCTATTCCCCCAACAAAAAAAGAGCTAGATAGGAATTCCCTATTGGGATGTTTCTTAAAGGGGGGTTAAGAGGGAGATTGAATTCCTACAAAACCAAAAAAAAACGTCCTCCTTGACGCTGCAGTCGCTGTCGTCCTCGCTCTCGTCCATGGCCAAAAAGCGTGGTGTGAGCGAGCCCAAACGAGGTACGAAAAATTTCTGAGCCGCACAACAGTAAAGCTGGGCCCGCGCCCGCGCGCCTACAACGGAAACCGAGAAAAAAAATTCCGGGGCAAAAAATTTAAACAACCGAACTCTCTCTCACAGCAAAAAGAAAAATCCCTGTGTGGGGGCGGCGTGCCGTCCTCCCATCCCTCCCTTGGGGTGGCTGTTTTCTTTCTTTCTTTAGCAGACAGAAAAAGAATTCCCCTCACTGACGTGAGCAAATCGCGATGGGCTCCCCGCTCCCGTTCCCCTGGGTCCTTGGCCGCTTTGTGTATCTCGAGACCTCCAGAGAAGGCCCCCCGCCTCCCCGAGGGCCCAAGTCGGAAATTGGCTTTCTTTTCGCGGGCAACCTGTGTCCCTGATCTCGTCCTAAACAAGATCCTGCTCGTGCAGGTGGGGACCCTGAGGGCCCAACTTGAGAATTGGCCTGTCCGAGGTTTTCCGGCAAACAAAAAGGGTTTAAAGAAACAACATAAAAGTTTTCAAAAGGGGCGCAAGTTACGCGGCGAGGGAAAAGGGAGCAAAGAGGGGCAGCAAAAGGGACAAAAGGGACG